CGTATGCCCACAGGCTATCGACGTATCCCTGTGCGCAACACTCACTACCCTGGCAAGCTTAATACTGAGACAAAATGAATCTCGATATACCTAAATTTCGAGGAGCCGAGGAACGGTCCGTGAGTTAGGTTTCGATGCCCATATTTTTAGGGTTGGCTTTTTCTTCCTCGCTGCCTACTGCGCCTTTTTGCTGAAAGAAGATGCTCCAAACGGCGGAGAGCTCATGGTTTGGCCGCTCGATCTAGCCCTGGAGCTACCAAACGGAGCAGCGGCGGGCACAGGCTGCACCTGCATCTGCATCTGCATCTCAAAGGGGCCGGGGACTGGGGGGCAAGGGAGGGACGAAGAGCCCGTCGCTCCAATCATGTCTGGCAGATATCAGACATGTCATGAGAAAGGCCATAAACCCGCCACAGACAGCGGCCAATAGATAACGGCGTAGTACCAAACAAAGGGTACCTTTTCTTTTTTGCCCGTTGCTTTTTCGTTAATTCTCCCCTTTGAGCAAAGAAAATCCCGCCAGTACTCCATAGTTATAGTTAAGTAGTAGTGTGCGAGGGGATGTGCAGATGCACACCAAGCAAGAGGTACGGAGTCGAGTAGAGTAGGCGAAATCCCCCAAGGTCGACGGGACGCTCTCCTGCCAGGGCGAGCGAAGAGTGCATCTCCAGACGAGATTCTCCCAGGAGGTGGATTTGGCCCCTCTGCACACCAGGGGGGTTAGCTCTTCTGGAATCCAATAGTTCGGCGGGGATGGCATGCGCAAACCCTGCACGTCGATGGATGTCGAGTCTCAGATTCCTTGTTATCACGGAGGGATCTCAAGTAACTGCCTTATCCAGAGAGAGGTCCCTCCCTCTCCAGTCATCCCAGCCTGGCCTGGCTCTGGCTCTGGCTCTGGCTCTGGCTCTTGCGCTCGACCATAGCCCCTATCCCGTCCGTCTGTCCTCTTCCTGCCTGCCTGTCTGCCTGTCTGTCTGCCCCAGCGGTCTTCACTCTCTTGATATCTGCTTCGACATCTGCTTCGACATCTGCTCGGCCAACAACAGCTCCTCGAATCACGAGCATGTCGATGCAGCTAGCGGGCAGCCGTGGAGAAACACTGGTGAAACAGCAGCAGCACATCGTGAGGCCTAGCCTGTTCCTGAGTACCACCGCCCCCTGTTACCCGTACCTTTTATATACATACACACCCACAGGGGAAGGCCGAAAAGGTCCCCATTCTGATAGCTGCTGTGTTAATGCTGTCGTTGTATGCATGAGGGACGCAAGCGAAGCGACATCCGTAACTGTAACTCAGTTCTGATAGCAGGCGTGCTCCGTAGCAGTGCAGTGTCCTGGCCGCATGTAAGTACCTCTTCGACGCCGCGGCGGCCAGGCTCCGGACAGTTCGTAAGGCCCAGCATCGACCTGTATCCTTCCTTAAAAGAGGCCGTCCTGTAGCTCAGCGTGTCAGAGGAGATGCGCAGAAGTCGCCTCCACGGACTGCTCCTGTTTCAGCTTTCGACAAAGCCCCCATTGTCCCTCTCCCCCTGATACCAGGTTTTTATTGCTTTTGACGGCCCCCTCGTCCCTTGTATCGCTTCTTCCTCTTCCCGCCCTCCACGGTATTCAAAACCTCGTATGCCAGGGGATTAAGGGATCGCGAGTGGGCTTCCGGTCGATGCGATCTCTCTGCTGCCTGGGGTTGATTAGCTTCTTCTCGTCTTCTTTCTCTTCTGCGTCCTCGTCGTCGTTGTCGTTGTCGTTGTCGCTGCTACTCTCCTTTCGTCTCACAGCGTCTGCTTGTCACGGCGGCTAATAGTGCGATCGCGCATCAGGACAGGAAGACAAGAGGATCCTCATACAGGACCTGCTCTTTGCGCTCGCTCGCTTCTCTCGATCCTATCTTTTTTTTTAGCCATCTAGCTATTTTAGGCGGCGTTGGCGGTGCCGCAGAGTCGAAAAGTACCTCCCTCCGGCTTTTCGTCTGATATATCAACCACCCGTTGGAACATCTCGACCGCACAGCAACGTCGATACACCAAGATACTATACAGCAAGAGGACGCCCTCGCTCTGTTACTCTCGGCCGGCTGTGCGCAAGCTCTTTGTCTTACCCGCCGCCGCCTCCATCGAACTGCTGGTCGTTGAACTACCCGGCTGCTGCTCCCGTTCGTGAACATGTCCACTGCTGTTGCACCCCCAACAGCAGCACCGTTGCCCCCAATGGTCGACCGAGACAGAGACCTCAGTCCCAAGACATATCCGGCCCTGGCGCCTCTATCGACCTCCCGGCCGTCAGTGTCCACGCCGAGGGGCCCTCCTGTCCACGATTATGCAGGAGAGAAGACGACTCCAGAGGACAAGCGGTCTCCCAACTCGTGAGTCCGGCCCCCGTATCCCTTCCGCCTTCTCGCTATACACCTTTCTATCATACCATATACACATGCCAGTGCAGCTAAGTTGGCGCATATACAACACTGGTCTGTCTCTTGTTGACCCAGGCTAACCTATATATCTATACCAGGTCCCGGAGGAGTGGGGGTCCAGCTCCGAAAATATCTATCAAAAAGGAATCCCCGCCGTCCCCTGACATGCAAACTGGACCAAGCCGGCACCGCCCACAGAAGCTAGACCTGTCGTCCGTAGCTAGCAGCCAGGGCCCGGCCACTGCCAGGGGACCGTTGACAGCTCGAGATGGACTGGCCATGCATGACGTCGGCCTTGCATGTCTATCCCCTGGGTTCCAAACGCAGGATCCTAACATGAGAGAACAGCTGCAGAGAAGCATCTCTGTCAGAGACCAGCAACGTTCCATAATTGAGTCTCGCCTACAGAAATCTGCCAAGGGTGACGGTCCGGATTCCGTCAAACCCTCAGAATCAAATCTCTTTGGCTCCGCTGCACCAAAGTCGAGCAAGAAGCGGCCACCCCCAGGGCTGTCCATTGTTGCTCCGTCTGCTGCCACTTTCGCCGACGAAAGAGTCATTCAATCTGCACCGCTCAACCAGACATTCACTGGCCGCCATCAGCCACCACCTCTAACTCGCCGTTTTATCAACCCTCCAGATTTTACCGCTTCCCCCCAGGTAAATCATAACCCAGCCAACCAGACCAACAACCGGTTGCCTCCAATATCAGACGTATTTGGCACCGATGCTTTAGGCCCACGAGACAGAGACAGAGATAGAGATCGTGAAGCAAACTCCCGAAATGGTTTCGGTCCACACTCTCAATCTAACAACCATGGGCCCCTTCCTTCGCCCAGCATTGCTGCCAATCAACCTAATAGTGCAGTAACCAAACGACCCCGGGAATACCGTTCTGCCGAGGAAGCAGTGCACGAACTCGCTGGTGGGCGCGAGGATCTCCTTCCCCGAATAGTTCATTACAGTGGGAACAGGGCCAACAGCCCTCGATCACCTGCAGGGGCCCACAACGGAAACGGGGAGGGCCACTCTTCCCACCCACAACATCACCAACCACATACTAGCGGCGGACCACCCAGCAGTCAATTCCCTAGTCAATCGTCACTTGGATTCCCCGGTTCAAGTGCTCGTCGACGCACTAGAAACGAGTATGAGCAGGATCATGGCAGCCCGCCTCTTGGAAACGGGCCCGAGCACAGATATAGGCCTCCTCCAACTTCACACGGGCCCTTTGGAGCTGGACGAGATTCGCCTGATACCCAGCGAAAGAAGAAGGAAGAGTTCTTAAGCTTATGTGCTCGTGCATGGGACTTGTTCCATTCATAGTACTCTCTTAGCTCTCTTTATATTCCATTCGCTCCAGCCTTGCACTCGTTTTATCTGTTATGTGACTATACTTACTCGGTATCATTACTGCTTTCCCATTCTTTACGGAGCACGTCTTCTCTGGATTTTTCCCCCCTCATGCGCTCGTTGTCCACCCTTTCTCATTTTATTTTCTTCCAACCTTTTAGTTTTACTTTATAACCCCTTCTCTCCCTTTTTGCCTCAAGACTCATTCGCGGGCTGGCTACTGTGGATGTGTTTCACGGCCCTTTTTCCTTTCGATTTCCTCTTCTATCCTTTGATGTTTTTTTTTTAGCAGCCATTTCTTCTCTATCCTCCTCACATTTCTCGTTCTCTCCATCTCTCTCCACTACACTTATCATACAGCTTACTTACATCTCTAACATCTCCTTCCCTACCTTATTTTCCTATTTTCTTGCTTTCAATCGTTTAGTGTGGCATAATATTGGGTATTCATGATTGGGATGGATGCTGGGTTGGATTAATGCTGTCATATATAACTATTTTTCTTACGCCCCCTTCCCCCCTCTTGCCACTCAGACTCCTTTCTTTCCACAATTTCTCATCTCTCCTATGAACTGACCATATCATGCGCCTGCTCTGGATTTATGACAGAGGAGCCAACAAACATATTCAAGTATTTTTTTCCCCTCAGAGAAATCTTTCCTTCTATACATTCCATCGTTATTGTGTTTGCATAGATTAATCTTGCAAAAGATGTAACCGACCCACATAATAATAATCTACAACTATGTTAAGCTTGATCTATGGCTTCAAGTTGAGCATTTTAAACCACGCCGAGTATCCATTGCTCGATGTAAACAGTGTATCGTATGCTTAGAAGGGGGAAGAAGAGGCACGATAGCATATACCTATGTCAATATCCTCAATAATATCCGTCTCACCCTTCCACCATCCTTCTACTTCTAGGCATCTCCTTTTTCTCCTTAGAAGCAACTTTCTTCCTCCGCCTCTCGATGCCTTTCTGCCTCTCTTTAGCTCCCATTGACTCATACTTCTCTTTCAGAGCCTCCTTCTTCAGATCTGCTTTCTTCAAGAACCACGCCTTCTCCTTCTTTCCTTCCTTGATCAGCTCTCTCTCCTTCTTCCGATGTTTAGCCAGCACCTGCCTCTCTCTTTCCCGGTTCTCCATCGCCCTCTTCCTATCCTTCATAGATGTGATCATCTTTTTCAGCCGAGCCTTTTCATCATCTTTCTTACTTCGACGTAACTTTTCCTCAAGTTCCTTCAGTTCTGCATCCCGATATTCATTTAGGAATGCATAATTCTTAGCCGCTGCTAGATCAGAATGAGATGTGGCATAAGATGAGGATTTGGCGTTGTGGCTGTAACTTTGTACTGCACTGTCGAACCGCGGATCCCTCGATTTGACTTGTGCCACGTTTTCTCCGTCAACAACAACTCGTCGGCGACTGACTGCGTATTTGCTTGACTGGACCGCAGGCGCATGTTTGGAAGAACGAGCCTCCTTATGTTTCTTGTCCAATAGCTCATTGTCCCTCGATCCTTCCGACTTGGAAGCTTTCTCCTCTTTCGCTCTTCGGATTCGCTCGCGAAGTTCATTCAGGGCGTCAGATTTGGATTTCTTGTATTTGGTATTTTTATTGTCTTCTTCCTCTTCTTCTTCACTCCCGTGCTTCCTTTTAGCCCCTTTCTTCAGGGGTCCAAGAGATTGCTGGGCTTTGGCAAGGGCGCCGAAAGATATTTGTGACAGTGACGATTTGATATCATTGTCTCCGTCATCTTCAGAAGAAGCGTTGTCTGGCTATTTCAATGGAAGTTTGGTTAGCGATACCCAGCAATTCTATACCATAGAAGTCCAAAACCATTATGAACATACTGCTTCTTCATTTTCCGACTCATCACCTTCACCTTCACCTTCATCTTCATCTTCATCTTCATCTTCATCGTCTTCACTGCCCAGTGTGTTCAATTCCTCAGAGCTTGAGAAGTCATCCTCCAGTTCATTCTCATCTGCCCGGTGTGCGATAACCCTTTTGCTCAGTATACCTGAAAGAGCCATCCCTTTTCGCTCTGGATATTCCCCCGCAGCCGTAGCCAGTATATTATATATTATAGCAAGCTTTGTCTTGCTATCTCGTCTTCTTCATATTTGAATTTCGATATCAAACGCTGCAAGAAGTCGCAAAAAAGGTTAAGTTTATTTTTCTGCCACGCCAAGTCCCAAGGCGGTGGATATCTTATCTGATTGTTATCGTTATCTTATCTCTATACACGTGATCCTGTCAAAATCCCAAATTTTTTTAAATAATAATACGGGTGTGATGGAGTAACTACTTTCATCCTGTCAACTAGAGCGGTCTTCGTTATCCGCAAGCCAACGGCCATGCTTAAGGGCCGATATGGCTTTGTTCCTTTGTTATCGAATTATCACCTGATCTGGGGTGCTAGAATTAGCTATCATTCACAATATTCAGGCTTCCCGTTTTGCAGTTACCTCGACTATCGAGTGAGTATTAATATTTCTAATATGGATAGTTGGCCACGTACTAATGACATGATGTTTAGCAAGTACAAGTCTGTCCTTGGTCCTATAGATCTACTAGAGTTTTTACTACAACAACGCATGTCATGTTAGAACGAGACATAGAGCAATCGCTCCCACCCGTGGACGGGCATGGGCAATCGCATCAGGACGTTGAAATGTCAAATGGACTGGAAGACACAAACCCGGGCACTTTTATCACTTGGGCTTATACCAATTCATCCCAGATACCCCGACATTCGAGTTCATCGCAGGCATTTGGCCCTCACTCTTATGCGCAAGCATCAACCAATGAACCGCTAGAATTACTCCCTAGAACTGTTTACAACAATAATGACTCCTCGTGAGTTCTGCTTTTTGGCTTTATATTAACGTGAATTTAAGTGATTTAACTGTGATACATAGATACCTTCATCAGCCCTCACATACCCCTCAACCCTACAATATTTTTGCACGTCACTCCCTTTCTGCATACAGCAGTCGCATATCGCACATGCCAACAAATATAGGCCCCGCTGGCCAAGTCGCAACAAACAATCTCATCCCTATACGCTCTCGACCGTATTCAACTAGAGCACAGCGATCTCGAACGCCTGACATACAACCCGTTGCGCCCACTCCAAAAGAAGAGTACATTGCCCAGGCTGAGCTCCGGCCAGAATCCTCACAAATGCAACAACCGCTGCTTGTTGTCCTTGATATGAACGGGACATTAATATACCGAAGACGTCGTACATTCCCTCCACAATTTACCAAGCGTCCCGGCCTAGATACGTTTCTCCGGTATCTATTTGATAACTTCAAGGTCATGATTTGGACTAGCTCACAACCGCATACTGTCAATGAGGTTCTGGATAAACTTCTATGCCCCGCAATGAAAAAGCAATTGGTCGGAGTATGGTCACGCAAAGATCTTGATTTGACCTCCAAACAGTACAAGGAGAGAGTTCAAGTGTATAAGCGTCTTGACAAAGTGTGGGGAGACGCGCATATCCAATCCCAATACCCCAACCAGGCTACACAGAATGAAAAACCACGAAAGAAGAGTAACAAAGTGAAACTTCCGCGGATACTTGGAGAGGATACTCAGGTTTGGGATCAAACGAATACCGTCCTCATAGACGACAGCAAATTAAAAGCTGCCGCCCAACCACATAATATCATCGAGATACCTGAATTCACCAATGACCGTAAAGTGGACGAAATCAAGAATTTAAACACTGTCATACGCCAACTGGATATATTATCCCGCCAGAAAGACGTTAGTCGCAAGCTGAGGGAGTGGAATCAGAAACGGCCAGAAGGGGAGTGTGACAGCATTGATGTGGATGCATTTTGGGAGAAAGAGCTGATGCACTCCTCCCTTGACATAAATACACTCGAGTTCTCCACGTCCCAAGAAAAGGCGATTATCACTACTACTACGAAGGCAACCAAGAATATCAAGGCGCCCCAGTCCCTCACCATCGAACAACTAATTAGTGCAGCGAAAAAATCGCATACAGCAATTAACCAACACAAGGACAATCCTACGAAGGAAGCGACAAGCGAAGAGTCTAAGCGCATCAACGATGGAAAACCAAAACGAACCAAAGGTCAAAAGCGAGCTGCAACAAGGAGGCGGGCAAAGCTCAAGGGAGCCGCGTACAAGAAAGCTGACCCAGTTTGATTTATACCCGTAAGGAACAACTAAGCGGTTCGTTGAGTCACAGCGACTGACTCAGTGACAAGTACCGCGCGAAGCGGCCGTGCCAGTTGGCCAGTGACGGAAAAGGTACTTCATATTCTAAAATTCTGCAGACTACGAGAAGACAATACAAACCGCTAGTGCATTAGGTTAGTGGGTATTTGCTTTATGGGTAAGTTAGGAAATTCATTTCACATTAGGGTAGACAACTGACTAACAGCAGCCAGGCATAGGAACATTACTGTTTGGCAGTGTTCAAGTTCGTCGTCAAAACACATAAAGTCATGGATATGTACCTAATTGCTTTTTCCCTTTACCTGGTATCTTTTTCGTTTTTTTTGTTTACTGGGGTGACTAAAATGTCAAAGGGGATAGTTTACTTGCAAACCTTGCCCTCGGTGCATTCATATTCCTTGCCATTGACAGTAATAGACTTGTCCTGGGCCCACTGGTCCTCGACGAAGGCTTTGTCCTCAGGCTTGCTAGCGTCAAGCTTGGTGAAGGTGTAACTGTCGATATCAGGGGCGACGTCAAATGCAGGAACATAGTCCTGACCACGGATGACGAAGGCTCCCTGGATGACGGAGTCGTTGGTCTTGCCATAAACGGAGGCAGCACCGAAGATATACTTGCGGGAGCCCTCAAGACGGTTGAAAAATCCACCTAAAATCCATAAATTAATATTCCGATTCCATTGAAACCGAATCACCGAAGGCAATGCTTACCAATCAAGTTGTTAGACATGAATGTCATCTTCAACTCGTCGTTGTACTTGTAGTCAACCTTCCACAGGGAATAATCCTCAGGGTTGTAGTTTTCCCAGAACCACGGCATGGCAACGGAGCGGGTGTCCTCGTTGGAGTACTTGCGCTTCCAGTCATCAAGGATCATTGTTGGCTTGGGGAGAGCCTCAAGAGGGTGCTTGGCCTTGGGAGCTGGCTTCTCCTCCTCCTCAGCAGGTGCAGCGGCAGCAGCAGCAGCAACTTTGGGAGCAGGAGCTGGCTTGGCAGCCTCTTCCTTTTTTGGTGGGACATTCTTCAATGGCTCCTCGACGAAAGGAGGCTCAGAAACAACAGCCTTGAAAACGGACTGGTTGACAATGGTTTCATACCATCTAGTAGTGGCAGGGTTGGAAAGGCGCCACTCCTTGCCGAGGACATATTGGAATCCGCGGTAGCAGAGACTGGCAGTGAAGAGATCAGCCAGAGTTATACGCTCACCAACAAGGAAGGTGTTACTGGTAAGGTGTTGCTCAAGGACATCGAATGCTTTCAAAGCACGGGCAGAGGCTTCCTCAACAGCCTTCTTGTTGTAGGGTTCCTTGCCAAGGATTGGGCGGAACCAGGCACCGACGTATGGAACAATTTCCGAGTTGGCAAAGCACATCCAGCGAAGGATAGAGGCATAGTCCTGCTTGGTCTTTCCGAGAAGGGTAGTCTTCTCGTTCTGGGAAGCAACTACAAATCGTTAGTGGAAGTGTATACCAAATAAAGATGCCATATGTCTCGAATAAACGACGTCACGATTGTTTGGAACATGAAAACAAAATCAGAGTCAAGGTAGTCAACACAGCATGATTAAGCCAGGGATAACTGAAAATAGTATTGAACTTCTCATCATAAAAAAATTGAAGGGAGATATCATATCACCCAGTGAAATAGTAGAAGGAAGGGGAATCCCTATGTAGAGTACTTACGGAAGACCGCAATGGCAGTAGACTCAGTCAAGAGGAAGCCATTGGCACCAAGGAAGACAGGAACCTTAGCGAGAGGGTTGATCTTCTGGAATTCAGCAGTAGTAGCACCAGGGATAGCCTCAACGAGCTCAAGATCAAGGTCGTTGGCCTTGGCTACAATACGGCACGCAGAAACGCGTGGGTTGTCCTGAAAGAAGTCTTGACGTTAGCAGTGCGCTACAAGCACGCAACCGCAACAGCAACAAGAAGAACGAGGATGAAGCAGGGATCGAGCATACAATGACACCGTAGATCTTTCCAAACGACATGACGGGCAGACACAAGAGAAGTCGTTTAGCTTCCAATTGCTTGCTTGCTGGTGAGGATGATGAGAAGGAGAAGATGAAGAACTTTTTGCGGCGGGGTGAAAAAAGGAAGAAAAAAGAAGAAAAACTCGGTTTGTTGTTAGTTTCTTTTCGGAAAGTTTCTCCGTCACTGGAACATCATTGATCCCCGCAGGTCATGTGATATCAAATTTTCCAGTGCCCATTATGAACTTTTTTTGTCGACGACAAAGACAAAGCAAACATGGCAGAGCGCCGGCACAGCGCCAATTAACCAGATACCACGACATTTGCGGTTCTCCATCACCATCATGGCCTGGCAGAGGCCGGTTCTCGCAGCTCGGACGTTCCGGCTCCCACGGTGCTTGACGCAATTCGAGGCCTTCCGATACCAACCATTTTCGACCACTCCTTCTTCTTCCCTTGACGATTCCCCCAATGCCGCTCCTCCGCTTGATGCCAGTGAATCACTCAGGCAGCCAACTCGCATGCTACCCGTTTCCCGGTCATACTTTACCGGGACACCCAAATTTACAGACTACGAGTTGAAGCTTGAATACCTGAGAGCCAAATACATGGATTTGCCTAGCTATGGCCCTAGGGAAGCGCCTCGAGTAGCATGGCTGGTGAGGGGCCAATTTTTGGCAAAGGTCAATGAAGACATATCTGTTTCGAGGTATGCGAGGTTATTGAAAAGCTTAAAAGTGTTGAACAAGATCAAGGCAGAAGTTATGCCGGCAGAAGTTTCGAAATTCATTGAAGAATTCTCAAGGCCGAGAAATCTATACCAGTGGGAACTCAATTCACGGAAACCTGATGAGGATGGCCGGTCTCGTGGCATAGGGAGGCGAAAGACTGCACATGCAACTGCTTATCTTGTTGAAGGAGATGGCCAGATTATCATCAATGGGAAGACCATCTCGGAAGTATTCCCTAGAATTCATGATAGAGAGAGTGCAATGTGGGCGCTGAAAGCAACAAATCGACTACATAAATACAATGTATTTGCTGTTGCTCGTGGAGGTGGTATCACCGGCCAGGCGGAAGCAGTTACTCTTGCCGTTGCGAAGTCACTTCTTGTCCATGAACCCGGTCTGAAATCTGCCCTGAGAAGAGGTAAGTCCTCTCCATTGATGTTGATGGTTTTAAATTATGTATTCATACTAACATCTACCTCAACAGCTGGTGTCATCAGAACCGATCCCCGTCAAGTTGAGAGAAAGAAGCCGGGAAAGCTCAAGTCAAGGAAGATGCCCGCCTGGGTCAAACGATAATATCAACATCGACTTTGCTTCTTATTGCATCTATGGGGCTATCCTGTTTCTTTCAGCTATAGTCTCTTGAAACTGTATTTTATCTATCATGTATATTTTAAGTGTGGACTGGGTAATAGGATTATTCGCCGTTATCGGTTACTTACATGATGTGTTATCACCTAGGCCGAGTAGTATTTTTAGAGGCACTTGCTATAGCCCGTCATCACTCGTTTATGAAAACGATATTCATACATTGCACATATAGAAGCCTAGTTAATAATAGTCAATGGTTTATAGCCTTTCCACATTCCTCCCCCCCCCCCCCTCCTCCTCCCCTGAGCGAATGGTATTCAGACAATTATTGATATCTGCTATGACTGCTCGCAAAAATATTACGTGGAATCACTAAACCCCACCACCCTCTGGAATCGGTTCTTACCCTTTACATCACTTCAAGTCGTTCGTGGACGATAGAAAACCACCAGTTGGTATGCACTGGAAAAACACTCTCTAGAAAAAGAAAATGTGCTCCATGTCTCCACGATGTTCTCGGGGAATATGTAAATGGCGCAGACCTTATGGACTAGGCTTATGTGAAATCAGTGTGAACTACACCGTAGATCAAAACCGTGGAATATATCTCATTATAGCTATATGGAATTCTGTTAAATAGGCTGTACTAGGATTTTAATCCGCCTTTTCAACTAACACGATTTTGTATTGATATAGTCCGTACGGAGTACTGACATGAGATATAGCAAGTGTGGCTGCACTAATCTATATATCTGATCCCATAACCCATAAGATCAGCATTAACGAGTGGATGTACCTATCAAGAAGCTGGCTCCAGCCAGCACCATTGAAGGATAAATCTCATAGATTTTAGATCCAGCTAAAGCCCACATTCTGAGCCCATATCCAAATTCTCGGGAATAACCTTGCGCATCGTATATGCATGG